AAAGAAAGTCATATACATCTGGCATGGGGGTTGGTAAATTATGAGAGAATTTTCATTTTTGGGTCAATTATTTCTTAATCCATTTGCATTTAGGACTACAGTAAAATTGAGGTTGGCCATAAATGTATATTCTGAAAGCTAGACCAACACAAACATTGGAAATTTATTGGAGCATTATTTGTTTAATATAACATCATGCACCCATTTAGCTCTACTAAATTAAAATATGGTTATTGTAAATATGGTATTTGTATCAATAAAAAGCCATTTTAAAATGTATATTTTATGCCAAAAAAATTGTTCATACTACAAGAGTAGAACAGTTCCGTTCAAAAAGTTTAATTTTTTTAATTTAGTGTTGTTGAAAAGACTTAAAGTCTAAAGACTTAAGACTTAAATTTTATCAAATTGTCAGTTAGGTTTATTGAAGAATTTTATTCTAGTAGCGTATTGGTTGTTCTGTATGTGTACGAGTCTTTCTGATGTTTTTCTGTATCCTCCAGTTGGTTCTTCAAGTCTGCCCTTATAGTGGACACATTTAAACTTCTGTTGTGGTTAAACACTCCCAGATGTTCTCTATAAATAACATCAGACACCACTTGTTTAAGTCCTGCTGCCCTTGTAGCTTTATTGCCAGTGAAGGAAACAAGATCTCATTTTTCTCTCTCCCATCCTTCTGCTTCTCTTCAGGTGAGAAACCATTCATCTGTGAGATCTGTGGGAAGAGTTTTACCAGTCGGCCCAATATGAAGCGACACCGACGCACGCACACAGGGGAAAAGCCATACCCTTGCGAAATCTGCGGCCAGCGCTTCCGCTTTTCCAACATGCTCAAGGCACACCGAGAGAAGTGCTTCCGGGTCACCAGCCCGGTGACCCTTCAGCCTGCCAGCATGGCGCTTCCCATTCACCTTACTGGCCACACGCCTAGCCCAACCCAGCCCACTCAGTCGACGCCCATGGGCCCCGTAATGATCAGTCCCGCCTTGGGGGGGCCCCTACCACAACGGGCGGTCCCCACGCATGGCTTCTCTCATTTGCACATGCAGACGCAGCCCTCACAACATCACCCCGCACACACTCCTGTCCATCACACAGGACACGCCCCCATGACGAGCCACGCCCCTCAGCAAATCTCAGTGCAGCCTTCTGTCCTGCCCCCTCCCCCCGCCCTGTTCAAGAGCGAGCCAATAAACCACTGCGTGCACGAGGACTCGTACCTGCGACAGGGCGCCGCTCCGCAACACCACTGAAACACACTCTCTCATACACAAACTCTCTAATGTGAAATCAGGTGCTCGCTGTAGAACAGACGAACGGCATACATCTGTCTAATTCTCACATGAATTGGGAAGCAATGTCTATGTGTGTGTGATACAAAACTGATACTACAAACCCACTTGCCACTAGCACTCGTGACCAAACAGGATTGTTAGACAGCTGTTCTCTGTGATCTGATCTCAAGAACACAAGCGCAAACTTCCTAAAGCATTACTCGGATTCACTTCACCTCGCATCAAACTCTGTCACAACGATCAAATTGATGGGCCATTGGGATTTCAATGGCACAAACATGTTTCTCTCTCTCTAACTCTTTATTGACTCAACTGCTGTTGCAAAGGTTCTACGGGTTCAATCATTCACAGGTTAAAGGTCTAGATTTCAAAAAATGCAGTGTAACCTCTTTAGAAATGCAGGTCTTCCCAACAACAGAAAATATTCCTATTCTACATAATGAATCATATACCAGTCATTACACAAAACATAGTATACAGCACTTAAGCAGTAAAAAGCAGTGTAGTCTTCATGACGTTTCTGTTGCCTGATTGTGGTTGTCAGTGGTTTTATTCAAATATTGGAGTGTTTTGTTTTTTTTATAAAATAAAAAAAAAATCTTACTGGGTAATGCCTGTAGCTCTCCGACGTGTTCAGTCGGAGGTTGAGACTGTTAAGGAAGACCAATGCTGTGATGTGTCATAGGAAGACTGCAACTAAAGGCGAAAAAAGATGATTCATGAGTTTTACTGTAAGTTCTATACAACCTAACTCACTTAACCAATATTTTTATTTGTGTAAAGTAGATAAACATGCTCTGTGAGACTTTTTAAAAAGGAAATCGGATTTCTCTGTTGAATTGAGATGTGTGCTTGTGAGAGTCTGTGTGATGGGTTGGAAGATGAAGAAAGGGTTTGTTTCTAATCATGTATTCAACCGAATGTAGGTGTGGAGAGGTGTGTGTGCCTGTGTGTGTGTGTCTGACTGATCTTATGCCTGTGGTGCTGGTATCAAAAGCTGCTTTTTAGTTGCTCTGTCTTTTCCTGGTACATGATTCTTTGTCATGCAGATGATCAGTGTGTGAGTGAGTGTTAAAATGGTTGCTTATGTGTTAAATAGTGTGATGTTAGGAGCAGCACAGATAAAGTGATTGAAAGCCTTGAGTCAATCAGACTCGGCTGATTGATTGATTGTTAATTATTTTTGTTCTCTCTCATTAGACAAAGACATCTGTCCTCTGCACTTTACTGCCATGTAAGAGGTTTGCGCGACTGACAGAATTGTTTATCGTGTGTCTGACATGTGAAAGATGGCTGGCTGTTGGAAAATGGGGAGAATCACATGGGATTTGGCTGGGATCCTTTGTTATATGTCAGAAAACTCTAGTTTGTCCTGTAAGAAGTTGTGTTTTGCCTTCATGCCCCGCCCTCCTCACCTGAGAAGTACTCTTATTGGTTTAGATGGCGGTCAGTCATGTGCTGTTTTTTTTAACTCAGTGTGTTTTGGGCTACTTGTTGTCTGATTCTCTCCATTCTCCATCAGTTGATGGAATGCACTTTCTAATAAAACCTAGCTAGATAAGAAAAATAAGCAGACCATATTAATGTTTATTCTTGTGAGGTGTTTTTAATCAAATCTCTTCTCATCCTCTCTACCTTCTCGACTTCAGCAGTGTTTTATTTTTAGCATTGTGTCTGGTACAGGAGCATCTGACCTTCATTGAGTTCTGTTTTGTATTGTTTTCCTGTTTTTGAGACTCCATGATGGACTTGCATTAATGTTGGGCCTTTTTTATATTGTTCATTTAACACTTTCTGCTAACTTTAAAGTAAAAAATGAATTAGCTACAAGCACAACTCGCTTGTCTGCATTTGTCTATGTGTACATTGTAATTGTGTTTGGGGGAGACTGAAAGCAGTATATATTAGAAGTGGGGCATTTTTAATAACTAGAAAGTGCTTGTTTCATGAGTATGACCTCAATCTCTTTTACCTTTGACCTTGTTTAGTAAAGATTAGATAAAGTTATATGCATGTTGCTTTGGTTTTAGTCTCACATTGATTTAAAAATAATGTTTTTAAAGACAAGCACTTTTAAATGTGAAACAATTTTTATATAAAAAGGTTAGCTTTGTAATATATAAATCAATATACTCTATTGTGTGTGTGTGTGTGTGTGTCACCACAAAGATGCAAGTCCTTGTCCTTGTGGGGAAGGTTTTTGGTCCCCATGTGGAAAACAGCTTATAAATCACACAGAATTATTTGTATTTATTTTTTTTTAATCTAAAAAAAAGTTTTGTGTGAGGGTTAGGGTAAGGGATAATAGTTTGTACAGTATAAAAACCATTACACCTATGGGATGTCCTCATAAAACATGCAAACCCAACATGTGTGTATGTGTGTACTGGTTTATATATCCTGGTGGGGACTTAAACCTGACTACACACAGACTCATGGGGACTCGTGTCACGGTGGGGACCTAAATTGTGGTCCCCACGGGTACAAAAGCTTATAACTCATACAGAATGAAGTTTTTTGAAAATCTAAAAATGCAGAAAGTTTCCTGTGAGGGGTAGGTTTAGGGGTACGGTTAGTGTAGGGCAATAGAATATACGGTCTGTACAGTAGAAAAACCATTACGCCTATGGAGAGTCCCCACAAGGATAGCTGACCAGACATGTGTGTGTGTGTGTGTGTGTGTGATGCAGAAGTAATACATTAGGTAAGCACATGATTATAGTGTCCTGATCTCATTGAACACTTTGGTGATGAAAGTGAAACAAAGGACATTTGCATTCACTGTTTTTCTTCACAATGTCACAGATTTGATATCGTCATCTGTGTAGAGTTAGGGGGACAACTGCATTGACAGATGATGACCTTATGCTCTCGGAATAAATTAATAGTCTCATTTTCCTCTTTGTATCCTCTGCCCAACAGAGTTAATTTGAATGTAGAGTAGTCTATATAGACTGACATAAATGCCATCAAGTATCAAGACTTTGTAGGAATGGTGATAATGACAAACCAGTTCCCTTTTCCATTCCTCCCCAAAATAGCACATGACCAGACATGTGTGTGTGTGTGTGTGTGTGTGATGTGCAGAAGTAATACATTAGGTAAGCACATGATTATAGTGTCCTGAACTCATTGAACACTTTGGTGATGAAAGTGAAACAAAGGACATTTGCATTCACTGTTTTTCTTCACAATGTCACAGATTTGATATCGTCATCTGTGTAGAGTTAGGGGTACAACTGCATTGACAGATGATGACCTTATGCTCTCGGAATAAATTAATAGTCTCATTTTCCTCTTTGTATCCTCTGCCCAACAGAGTTAATTTGAATGTAGAGTAGTCTATATAGACTGACATAAATGCCATCAAGTATCAAGACTTTGTAGGAATGGTGATAATGACAAACCAGTTCCCTTTTCCATTCCTCCCCAAAATAGCCTTTCTTTTAACAGGCTGTCATTAGCATTTCTCTACAGGAGGAACTAAAGTACGGGATGTTCTTTTACAGTAGTGACCCTGCGTCCAAACTGCACTCACCTTAGATTAAATTATACCCACATTAAAATCCATTTAAAATTCCTAACCAGGTCATCCCATTCTGACACTCATATGGAAGTGCTGAATGTACAATAAAATTTACAAAAAGGCAGGCTACATTTCGGCATTTCAACAAGTCCAGTTTTGACCGATTTGTTTACCTTTATTAAATGAATAGTGTTCTTTAGCGTTTTTTTTGTAAAAGCTCTGAGTCGGATTCCATAGCTGTTAATGATATGTAGAGTAGCGCATCGCTGAGGTTCTCAGTGGGTTTGGATCCAGTGATGGATGAGAGGCGGGACCCGTCCGATGCGCGTCACTGTGGTTCCGTGAAGCAGGATCGGACCATAAATCTCCAGCACTTTTGAGAAGCCGGGCAGACGCAGAAAGCAGCGATCGGTAGTGATGAACATCTAAACTGGACGTCCGGCTCAAGGTAGTCTGCTGTTGTTTTACTTGACAATTATTCCATTATGTTCTGTCCTGTTTGTCTGTTTATATGCTGTGGGCTTTATGGTGTCATTACCTTACAAATTGCATACTATTTTTTTACACATAGTTTAAATTAATTTGCAATTTAATTATTTGCTTAACTTTAAAACAATACCTTGAATTGAAACGTAGTATTGAAACGCACGAAAATCAGGTGCTTCTGTTGCATCATCTGCTGTAATGAATGTAAAGTGAAACCAAGGTCATTGAAACATGCTGCGTAACTGCTTTTGATTATAAGCCATTAGAGCGAGACATAAATAATCACGCTGTCATCTCTGTTACAGTCGGCTATATCGTTTAACAGTAGGCTACATTTTGTGGACGTTCACTGCCAACGAGACCGTTCTACCTTGATGGAAACATTTCTGAGTGAGTATAGGCTATAGTTTGGTAAATGTAAATTTCTCTGTATTCTTATGTTATAGGTTAACACTGCGCAGCGGCGAGTTTAAGGTGAAAAGAGGTGAGTTGCATCATCATAAGTATAGATACAGAAGTTAAAAACTCCTGCAACAAGGAGTGCTTGGCATGAGACATAACAATTCCCATAACCTAACATCAGTATTCAAGACGGCGACATTTCCAAGTGAATGAATCAAGAGATGATCATTAGAATGCTCTTATCACAGATATACCATTTCGTTCAGTTTTCTTTATATATATATATATATATATATATATATGAGATTACCACTTAATACCCCTAAAAACGCAGACAATAAATCAATGCATCATATAAATTCAAATATATTAAAATCAAGAAAAACACAACTATAAGGTATCTTTTAAATAAAAATATTACTACATATTAAATACATATTCATATCGTAACACTGTAAACTGTCAATTTTTGTGACAATTCAAAAGAAAATTGCATAAATAGAAAATTGGTTTAAAACCACAATGTAGTCTCAGTTAATTTATTCATTCAAGTGAATGCCAGATTTGTCAATATTTAAAATAAATATTTGACCTTGTATCTGTATCTGGTGGAAAAACTTTTTTTTTTTC